ATTACTAAAGGTTAAGTCTTACTATGGTTGAGGCAATTTGAAGTTATAGTTAAAATTCAGTATGCCAAAAGAGAAATAAAAATTAAAACGTATGTAAAAAAGATAAATTAATAACTTATAAGATGTAGAACTTGTAAAGGAAAAGAAGGTAAACTATACCAGACTAACAAATGTTATAAAGTTAAAAAGGTTCAAATGTTAACATTAATGATCATAAAATTCTCTTTTTTAATGACAACGATTCTCTAATTGAGTTGTTTATATTTTAATCTAATCATAATCTATTTATAAGTGACACAATATGATATAAAAAGAGATGAACAAGAATTGCCAATATCAGTACTAGGCAAAGTAGAAGATAAACAAATTATGTTAACTCATACTTGTGCAATATTTTATAAAGCAAAATCATATACCAGGAAGATATAATATCCATGGACCTCAGTACATTGAACAGAACACGAAAATATGTAAAACAAAAACTACTTGAAATACAAGAATAATTAAATAAAACTATAATTATAGTAAATATGTTTCTTAAAAATTTTTGACAGTTCACATAGACAAAAGTAAGATAATAATGAATTTAAAAAACATAATTTAAATGTAATAATAATAATTAAAATGTTTGATTATATATGTGTGATATTCTTTATTCCTTTTAACTTAACCAATAGAGAATATACATTTGTTTTCAAATGCCCAAAGAACATTTGTAGAGGTTGCTTATCCAATAGATTACAAGAATAATCTTAATGAAACTGAAATATCATCTAGGTCATAATCTATGATCATGGTGGTAGGGAGATTAGAAAATAATAACAACAAAAAAAACAATTATCTCCCCATTGGAAGTTATATTCGCTAAATATCTCTTAAGCCAAATAGTAAATCAAAATGGAAGTAATCGGCTATTTAGAAAATGACAGTGGGAAACTAATCCTATGGTCCATAGTAAAGCTGTGTGCAAGAGGAACTTGAGCTTTAATGTTTTTATTATTTAAAGAAATCATGAAATCCAGACTCATGAAAATAACTGAACTGTCATTTTCAACTCAAAATTCAGAGCAAGATAAATAAAATAGATCATAAAAGGACAAATTAATTAGTAGAAATTCATAAATAACAAAACAAAGCAATATCTAGGTATGGAATCTCTCTCTCTCTCTCTCTCTCTCTCTCTCTCTCTCATAAGGAAATATTTATGAATGAGAAGGTGTCAATTAAGAAGATAGGAGACTATCAAATCCATCTAAAAATGTAGAGTTCAGGCTTCTTTTATGTCAAGGAACGAGGGAAACAGGAATGGCAAGAGGTGACTGACTACAAAAGACATCTGGGTGCCAGCAAGGGTACAAGAAAGATTGTACTTAGTCTGTTGACCCTAGATGATGTGAGTTCCGTCATGAGCTTCCTGCAATTCCCTGATAAACAATACATAGTTCCCTTATATCCTGAGATAATATGCATTGTTTTTGTAAAACCCAAGCCAAAAGCAGAATCCCTCTAATGATTAATGTGTCTATATACAAGACTAAGGAGAAGCTACTGAACAAAGGCTTGGAGTCAGAAAAGCCTACCATTTCACTCTGTTACAATATCCCCCTTTTTTTCTTGTCCATTCCTTAATCTAGAGGAAAATAAAGAAACTGGGTCTAGGCTCAATTAAAAGAGAGGATTAGCTTTAAGATAGAATAAAATTTGCCTGCCCCTTGTGCCCGTCTTATCCAGCTCTTATAATCTGACACATCTACCTCTTCCACAATGGTCCCTGAGCCATACAGAAGGCATTCTGCATGTTTCAGACAAAAAAATGAAGAGTAGCTTTTGTTATTGTGTTCCCCAGGACCCAAACCATGATGAGCTGGCCTCTGCTCAAACACTTCCTAACAAGTAATCTAAGGTGATCCTATTGTCTAAGAACTTTCATGTCAAGGATTCTAAGGTGAGTTCGATTTGTTCAGCAAAGTGGGTGCTTTAGTCACTAGAGACTGTGGAAGAAATATTCCAAGTGGGAAACACATTTTCTAACAGTTTCTTTCCCATTGAGAGGCAATCAGTCTTGTGGCAATGGAAAGTTTCAATTTATCTGGAAAATATATGCACAAAAACAAGAACATATTGATAACCCAAACTAAGTGGCAGCTGAATGAATGGATTTCATCCACCTGTGCCACAGTCTGATACTCAGGTTCAGTCATTTTAGTGTGTCACTAAGTTTCATACACATCTCATGTCTAGCAATTTCACATGTACATTGTGTCCCAAAAATGTATACGCACTTTGAATAATTAATTCCAATGGGTTAAATCTGAAAAGAAAGTAGCATCAATTGAGCTATCAGCTGTGAAGTGTGTATACATTTTTTGGGGATACATTGTATTTCTGGAACACTTATATACTTACTAGAGACTCAGTGCATGAAATTCGTGCATGGGGGGGGGGGGTCCCCTCAGCCCAGCCTGCACCCTCTCCAATCCAGGACCCCCAGGATCAGGCCTAAACCGGCAGTAGGACATTTCTCTCACAATCTGGGACCACTGCTCATCTGCCTGCCTGCCTGATCGCCCCTAACTGCCCCCCTGCTGGCCTGGTTGCTCCCAACTGCTCCCCCCACTGGCCTAGTCACCCTTCACTGCCCCCCTCTGCTGACCTGGTCGTCCCCGACTGCCCCCTTTCCCCCCCATGGACCTGGTTACCCCACGCCTGTTCAGTCATCTGTTAGGTTGCGATGGTTGCTTAGGCTTTTATATAAATAGATACAACATAAAAATGATCAATGTTATTTTTTATTTGGTAATGCTTGCCATATATATTCAACACAGAGACATTAGCCTAATTAGTTTAATATTTCTGTTTTGTAAGGAAAGAAACCAAATATTTTGAGGTGTTCCAGGACCCTTCTGGAATACCTCAGTTATTCCCAGGTCAAGACTCCATTTATAATTTAAATTTTGCAAAAATTTTAAATTTTGAGACATTTTTCAAAAGCTATCAAAAAGTCTGAATGTGGTTCTTTTAAAAAGGCCAGTTATTCATTTATTCATTGTATAATTAGTTATGTTCTGGTCATATACTCTTAAAAACAAATAAAAAGGACAAACTTAAGTATGACTGTTTTTTATTAGAAGTTTAGATAGATTATTGTGGCACAAATACAAACACCTAGAATTGGGAGAAATCATGCTATAAATTAAAATCCAGGCCTGTGATAGCCCAGATGTCAGAGAATAACGATTCACCTGCATTATAAATGTTCTGTGTAAAAGCCACCACCTTAGGCCTTTGCACTTTCTGTTCCTATTGCCTGGAACTCTCTTTACCCAGATATAATTTCTGCTCAGATGGCACCTTGTTTGGCCACCCCATTCACACTCTCCTCTCCTCTCCTCAGCTGCTTTTCTTTTCTTTGTGTCACTGTATGAAACGTGTCTCTATCTCCCACTGACGTGCAAGCCCCTTGGAGCAGGGCTCTCTGTTTTGTTCACTGCTATCTTCCTGGTGCCTCCACCCAGGACTGGATGATAGTAGACTCTAGATAAATATTTCCTAAACAAAGGTCGCTCCACAAAACATTGCTGTGTATGGAGGTGACGTGGTTTGATAAGTATGTAACAAATCCCTGACGAGGGATGTTTGTCTTCGTGATCTCAATTCTTACATACTAGTATTTCTCAGCAGCATGTGAGACAGAGGCAAAGCCGACTTGGCTCTCCATGCTCTGGAGACCACAGTGGACCATGTCTGGTCTCATGGCTGCTGGGATGAGTGGAAACGTCCAATAATGGTCATTCGCTTCCGGTTTATAATTATGTTGTACCCAAACATACTCTATGGTTCCCTACTAAACTCTAAGTTCTTTACGGTCTGTTTCTTGATGATCTTTGTATGGATCATAGTGCTTAATGTTGTGCCTGGCGTACATTTCCTCAAGAATGAATGAAGAGGAATTGCAGTGATGTGATATTTGGCACTCAGCCCGTCAATCTTAGGTTCAGGACCATCAATCCGCATCTTAGTTCTCCAAGCAGGAGTACCGTCATGAAGGTGGGCCCAGAGAGAGAGATCATGCAGTGAGAATGGCTGCTCTACCAGTCCTGGTCTGCTTATATCTGGACTTTACATGAAACAGAAATGCACTTCAGTCTTCCTTAAACCGCTGCATTTGGGGTTTCTTTGTTATAAGAGCTTATACCTTAACATGCCCAATTTCTTAGTTGTGAAATGACAATGATACCTAGTGGGACAGTAGCTGAAAAGTGATAGCCAGAATTTTCCAGACTTGTGCAGCCTTCCTTTAGCCTGATGTCAAAGTCATGGTCTGAGCAGAGAACCTGAAAGTGAGATGCCTGAAGTGATTTGACTAGAGCAAAATCAGTCACAGTCAAGATAGGCATGCTAGTACCTCTTTCTCCAAAATACCTCATCCCCGCTCAGCTCTGGGGTCAGCCAGTGGCCAGTTAATGAAACAATAGACAGAGAAGCTTTGGTGGTGCTGGTGGCAGGGAAGGGGTGCGAATAAAAATTTCTGAAAAGGATTATTTTTTTTTTTTATGATGGTGAATGTTATAGCAATTCTATTCCTGATCCCTAGGAAACTTTTGCTAAAATATCCAATCTTATTGCTGTTTTGAGGAGCTATGCTTAAGTGCTGAGTTCAGCCTGAAGGACACGCGTGGAGGGTGGGACTCTTGGTACAGCAAGAAAGAGGCAAGCTGGCCGGGAACTGCTGCGCTGTGGAAACCCAAGAGTATATGGGGCCATGTGCAAGGCCAAAATACTGAAAAACTCACCCAAAGTTGGGAAACGGTTATTTTCACTGCAGATCCAGGACTAAACTGGAGACTCAAAGTATAGATCCTTAAAATCAGTTGCATTTCTCACCAAAAATAACTGGCATAGCCTTCTATTAATACTAAATTTCAAAATTCATGCATCACCAGGACATTTTTGGCATAGCCAAGTACTAATTTATTAAACAGAAATTTCTCAGCACTTACCCTGCTGTATTATGGGCTTGGTTCTCCATGTCGAGAAACTGCCTCTGGTTTATATTTCTCAGTATTTAACCTGTAAGGGGGAAAAATGGTCTAGATTCCTAAAATGATAACCGTTATTAACCTAGAAAACAAGAATTGCTTCTGGTAAACGATTTAATATGAGTTTTTCTGAATGTAGTGCTCTAGGTTCTACAGAATGTAGAAACGTGTGTGTGTGTGTGTGTGTGTGTGTGTGTGTGTCCATGCATTTGTGACACTGGCTCAGTGATGAGTGTAGATAAATGGGGTACTCAATCAAAGTAGCATTCGCTACAGAACAGCTTGGTGCCAGGTCCATGAGATGAGTAAAATAGAATTCCCATTTTATTCCAGCTAAATGCTCTCAAACTTCCCTTCCTTGTGGATCCTCTAAAAGTTTGCCATTAGTTTTTATTTGTAAAAAATAAAAAAAATATCAGTACATTTTTGATATGGCCCTTTCTGGGTTTTGTCTAGAGATTTAAAATAAAAAGACGAAGAATTCCCTAAAATTAGGAATCTCACAATTCCTCAAAGACTCTGCAAGCACCACCTGCTCACCCTTGGGTGTTAGTATTCGCCCAACGTTTAAAAAAAAAAAAAAAAAGGCTTTTTATTCCCAGCAACAACATTTTCATGAGGACAAATGGACAAAGTTTTGAAAAGGACTTCAACTCCTCTGAATTACCGAATAAAAGTCCATTAAATAGCATTCAAGGTGTTACAAAGAGGAGGAAGATTCCTGGGCTCACGTCCCTCTCCAATCACAGGATCTAGAGGAGCCTTGGACTGGGTGTGGAGCGGAGCGGTGCGGAAGGCCAGGTGAATCAGTTCATTTTGCAGGACTCAGACCCTTCCCTTTAACCATCAGGGGAGCGGAGGCACAGAGAGGCCGGGTGACTTACCCAGGGCCACACAGCTAGAGCCTCCACCTCTCCCCGGAGAGAGAAGCGCTGCTGTGGATGCGCCAGGACCATCCCTGCAGCCCGCTCCCTCCGCCCGCCGCGCGCCCCAGCCGCGCCCCCGCCTCCCGCAGGACCCGCGCTGGGTTCGAGGCCACCCCCGGGGGCAGCCGGCCTATTGGGGTTCCTGCCTGGCCGATGGGACCAGGGTCGGGGCGAGGCGAGCCGGGAGGCCGGCCGGGTTACCTGCGCTGCCCCGCGCCGCACTCTCCGGACGGTCTGAGGCCAGGAGCAGGATCGCGGGGTCCCCGCCCCGCCCGGTCCCAGGTTCCCGCCACTGGCTCTGCGCTCTGCCGCCCGCGCCTCCCGCCGCGCGGTCTGGCCGTTGTGGCCTCACCCTCGGGGCCCTCGCCCGCCGCTGCTGGGCCACCGGTTGCCATGGGGACGCGACGCCGCGGTGGGGGGTGGGGTGGGGGATGGGCGCGCCGGCGGGAGGGGCGGCGGGAGCGGCTTGCGGGTGCTCCCCCCCGCGGAAATCTCCTCCTGCCCCCAGGGTTTAGCCTGTGTCTGCTCCCTGAGACCACCTGCTGCTCCTTCCCTATGTGTGGCCCCCTCTGCCCAGTCCGGTGCCGGCACCAGCAAGGGTCCCAGAAGTGTTTGCTGAATGAATGAAGGAAAGGAACAAAATGTACACAGCAGGGGTGGGGGGGAGGAAGGGGTGGAATCTGCATCCAAGTGTGTAAAATCCCCCAGGCTCTCCTCCCTCTTAACCACATTGGAAATAGTTTGAAAAAGAAATAAACTTGGGGGCAAAAGGAACTGTCTTTTCTAGGCACCAGAGTGTCTTCCAGTTGGATTTCTTTTATCACAGCATCATTCAGTGCACAGCTATTCTGGTCGCGATAGCAACAGCAACTATACTGCCTTTCCCACCCAGCTGTACCTGCCTTTCCCATACAGCTGTGCCCGCCTTTCCCATGCAGCTGTACCTGCCTTTCCCATACAGCTGTACCTGCCTTTCCCATGCAGCTGTACCTGCCTTTCCCATACAGCTGTACCTGCCTTTCCCATACAGCTGTACCTGCCTTTCCCATACAGCTGTACCTGCCTTTCCCATACAGCTGTGCCTGCCTTTCCCATACAGCTGTGCCCGCCTTTCCCACACAGCTGTGCCCGCCTTTCCCATATAGCTGTGCCCGCCTTTCCCACACAGCTGTGCCCACCTTTCCCACACAGCTGTGCCCACCTTTCCCATACAGCTGTACCTGCCTTTCCCATGCAGCGCATTGGGTCCTTAGAATAACCCTGCAAGTGAGACGCCTTAGGAGAAGCGGACAGTCTTGCCACCCTCTCAGGGAGAAGGAAATAGCTCCTTAGTGGGATGGAACACAGAGTGAATAATTCTAAATTCTTTCCATTTCATCAAATTCCAAGAATAATTGATGACAGAAGCTCTGTCTCACAGTCCTTATTTTGAAGAAATGATAGGAAATAATATGTACATATATATGTACGTATGTGTTACATATTGAGCGATATTTTTAAGCACTTGAATTTTGTGTTTGGAAAAATATATGTTCCCACGATTTTTTCCCATTGATTTTCAAAGAGAATGGAAAGGAGGAGGGAAGAGAAAGAGTGTGAAAGAGAAAGAGAGAAACATAGATGTGAGAAAGACACATACATGTGAGCCACCAGTGCTAGGGATGGAACTTGCAACTCAGGTATGTGCCCTTGACCAGAAATTGAACCCGAGACCCTTTAGTATGCAGGCCAGAAATGGAAAATATTCTTGCATCTATTTTAGGAACAGAAATCCTTCCCAATAATACAGTCAATTAATTTCTAATTCCTAAAATCTTCTATACTTGCCCTCCATTTTTATAACATTAACAATTTGCTACTTTAATATGACTATTAATTTAAAAGCAGTGCCAATCTCTTCAGGTTCCACCCAAATAAAAAATTGGCTGTTTCTTGACAAATGGAGTTTTATGGATGAATTGTGTAAAAGCAACTCAGGTTATTAGTTCTAAGTGTTTCATAGCTCTCATATTATGATTGAAAGAAGAGAGTGGTAATTTTATCTTAACTCAAAAACTTTCCATTATTCTGAAAACCTTAGTCTTAATCTTTTTTTTTTTTTTAATCCTCACCTGAGGATATTTTTATCCATTGATTTTTAAAATGTATTTATTTTTATTGATTTCAGAGAGGAAGGGAGAGAGACAGAGAAACATTGGTGGTGAGGAAAATTATTATCGGCTGCCTCCTGCACACCAACACTGGGGACCAACCTGAAAACCAGGAATATGGCCTAACAGGGAATCGAACCATGACCTCCTGGTTCATAGGTCCAAGCTCAACCATTAAGCCACACTGGCTGGGCCTCTTTTTTTTTTTTTTTTTTTTTTTTTTTTGTGTGTGTGTGTGTGTGTGTGTGTGTGTGTGTGTGTGTGTGTTTTGACAGAGAGGAAGGGAGGGAGAGAAATGGGAAGAAAGAGAGAGAAACTTCCACACGAGAGAGACACCTCTATGATTACCTCCTGCAACTGCCCCAACAGTCTGTGGGCCAACATTTTAACCACTGAGCAAAACCAGCTAGGGTCATAATCTTCTTTATTCTTATCTAAACTGAATGGGTCAATTATTTATTCTGGCCCGAGGAAGGCAAAATGGAACTAGGAACAAAAGGTAATGAAGTTTCAGGATACCCCGTATCACTCACGTTGCTTAGCACGTTTTCATTGGTAAGGTCATACTTTCATGTTCATTAGTTCCTTAGATGCCCAGAAGTACCATGTGACACTAGTGTAACAGGTGTTATAGCTTCTTTTAAGCAGACCAGCAATCTAAGGTTAGAGAGAATAAAAGATTTTTCAGACAACACATCTAGCTCAAGTGCAGCTAAGAACCAAAATCATCTTACTCTAAGTCTAGTGCTTTTCAAATGACCTCAAATTTCATGTTGAGGAGGCTTCTTTACAATCAGAATCTTGCAGAGGTAACTACAGATGTATTTAAAGCCATGTTTTCACACAAAAAAGAATGTGTGTGGGCAGGGCTTGCAAAGCATAAGTATGTGAGAGAACACATACTGTGATGAGCTTAAGAAAATGTAAATATAGAGCATAACCCCACCTCCCCTTCAATGTAATAGAAATAAAGGCTTTCATTTCAGGTTGAAACTTAAAGCCTGCCTATATCCCCACCCTGGAAGTAACTGCAAAAAGGAATTTTACCCTGAAATGCACCTATTATTAGATCTCTTCAGGAGAAATTAATGAAGAAAGAAGGAAGTCCCTGAGTATAAAGGAGAGGAAGGGTGTGACCAGGGTGCTGGTGGGAGCTCATTCCTGAGAGAGAAATGGAGGACACAGTAAAGTCAGAATAAGACATAAAATATAATCAGAAATGACCAAAAGAAAGTATATGAGACATATATGGCCGAGGAATGAGGAAAACCAGCAGAAACAATTCTCTGTCAAAATATTGGAATCCGACAAAGATTATAAAAAATATTACTAGTAAGTTTTATAGAACAATAAAAGACAAGATTGAAAAAAAAAATCTGCAGGGAGCACTAAATATAAAAAATAAGCTGGCATTGCTTGACTGATGTGGCTCAGATAGTTGAGTTTCGTCCCCTGCACCAGGAGACCACCTGTTCAGATTCCCAGTCAAGGCACAGACCCTGAGTTGCAGGTTGATGCCCAGTTGGGGGATGTGCAGGAGGCAACTGATCAATCTCTCATTGATGTTTCTTTCTCTCCCTCTCTCCTCCTCTCTCTGAAATCAATTAAAAATGTTTAGAAAAATAACCTAGCATATTTGAAAAGGAACCAATGGAAATTCTAAAACTAAAAAAATTTAATTACTGCCTCAGCCGATTTGGTTCAGTGGATAGAACATTTACCTGATGACTAAAGGGTCCCAGGTTTGATCCGGTCAAGTTGGGGGCACAATCCCCATTGGGGAGTGTGCAGGAGGCAGCCAATCAATGATTCTCTCTCATCATTGATGCTTCTATATCTCTTTCCCTCTTCCTTCCTCTCTGAAATTAATATATTAAATTAAAAATATATTAAATTAAAATATTAATTTATTAA